ACTGCAACCGGAGAGTAGCCTCTGCTAGCCGCAACTAGAGAAAGTCCGCACACAGCCACGAAGACCCAGCGCAGGAAGAAAAAACAAAGACCTGGCTCAGGCATCATCTCCTTTGTAGAGCCTCTCTCAGCTCCTGAGAGGGTCCAGGAGTTCAGAAGTCCCTCCTCCAGACTCAGGCAAGCACCTAGAACATCCAAGTCGGTTCCAGTGGAGACAATCCCTTTCTCCCACCAGCCTAGAACCTTGCAAAGTGTCAGGCGCATAACAGATCTTCAGGAATCTGTCTGTGAAGAGTTTTCACTTCATGCTGGGATCTCGGATTGGTAGGAACCAGGCTGGACCAGGTTCCACATTTTTTTTTTAATCTTGGTTTTCTTGAGGATAGGAGACTTGGAAAGAGGCCACCAGCAATACTGCTGCTGGGATTCATGGTATCTCTGTGCCCCGTCCTCACAGGATGCTGCTTCCACAGTCAGCTCCTTTCGCTTACAATAGTCAGAATGGGGAAGAGGGTTTTCTATTGAGAAAAACCACAGCCTATAGTTTCAGTCACTTTCCCAGAAACCTGACCCCTATAGAATGGCACCTTGCCAAGCTTCTCTGGACCAGAACCAGTCTCTGCACTTCCTGGGGACTTCCTGACTCTAGGAAAACATGGGCTCCCTGGTGCCAGGGACAGAAAAGGGCTGGAGATAAGCAAGGGGCTGCTGGGAGGTTGATATGTAGGTTCTATCTCTGCTCAGATGGCAGAGGGGAAGGCAAGCCCAGGAATCAGCCACTTATGGGATGCCTGCTGGTTCCTGTCCCCTGCTCAGCCTGTTTAGGTAGCATGAACCTTCAGCCTGTTGCATGACTCACTATAGTCAGCTCATCCTACCATCAGAATGTTAGTGTACCCACCTCCAAGTGAACATCTCATGCAAAGTGCTAGACACGTGCCTATAAGTGGAGACATCCTGACTTTACAAGAACAGGTTGTGTAGATGGCTTTTATGCAGGCTTGCTCTGGCCAGAATTTGGTTTAAGACTCACTTGTAACATGCCACTACAGGGAGAAATTAGGTGAAGGGACCAATGGTCCCTATCTACTTCTCATTCTTAAAGCTTACTGAGAGAATATGCTGGAAGACCAACTAAATTAGCTTAGGTCGTTCCAGCGAATTATGGAGTCATAGCTATCCTACATCAGAGTGAAAAGAAGAAAAAAAAATTATCTTTGAAAATCCCTTAAATTTCCCCACAGTGACATCACCCATGGTTTTGTGTATATAACCCGTGTTAGTTCCTGTCATAACAGTGACAGTCAAGGCGTCTCTAGGACCTTTAATTTATTATTCCATTTCTTTTTCAAGAGCCTTGGCAAAACCATCAACCTATCTGCTTGGCCACTTGCAGGTGGGCTCTGCTGTCTTGGCCACTGGTCAGGAACCGTTTTAAATAACCCACATGTTCATTCCCCAGGCCTTGCCAGCTCTGTTTCACACCTGATGGCATCCATTGCTATTGGCCATGAGTTATGCAAGAGGAGTGACGTCTAGAGGTTAGGTTTAAATTCCAGCAAGTTAAATGTGCTTAGGAACAATGTCTGTGCATTCCCTGTGTAGCTACAAGGAGGAGCCCTGAAGACCTAGGGACCTAGATACCAAAAGCCAGGATGAAGACAGCTAAATGGGACCGGGACCTTCAGACCTGTGCATGGGGAGAGAAAACCAACACTTCTTTTTTTTTCAAAGAATGTGTGTGTGCATGCTAAGTTGCTTCAGTCGTGTACAACTCTTTGTGACCCTATAGACTGTAGCCCGCCAGGCTCCTCTGTCCATGGGGTTCTCCAGGCAAGAATACTGGAGTGGGTAGCCTATCCCTTCTCCAGGGCATCTTCCTGACCCAGGGTTTGAACCTGCATCTCTGACATCTCCTTCATTGGCAGGCAGATTCTTTACCACTAGCACCACCTGGGAAGCCCCTTTTAAAGAATAGCTCTCCTGAAAGTAAAAGTAAGAAACAGTGTTAAAGGAATTCCATCCTTTAATATTCTACAAACACTAGAAGGACCACAGAGTTCCATAGAACATCTGTTGATGGCACAATGTGAGAGGGGAAAAGAAACCACAGTGGAGCACATAGGATTTTACCTCCACTCTGATGTTAGCTAAGCAGAGACGCAGAACTAGGAGAGAATACACCCGAACGGCTGTGTCATAATGATGGGATTCTAAGTGAACGACCTTATCTCTTTTCTCTGTTTTCCAACTTTCTGCAATATGATTGTGTTATTTTAATCATTCTTGAAAACTATAAATATAGGAAAGATATGCAAAGAAGTTAGATAAGGGACTTCCCTCGTGGTCCAGTGGCTAAGACTCCACACTCCCAGTGCTGGGGGCCTGATTTTGATCCCTGGTCAGGGAACTAGATCCCACATGCCACAACTAAGAATTCACATGCCTCAACTAAGAATTCGCATGCCACAACTAAGATCTGGCACAGCCAAATTAATTAATTAATTTAAAAGGAAGTTAGACAAAAGATGAAAACAATAATAGTGGTTAAATCCAAATTTCAAATGCAAAGAGAGAGAGTAAGTGAAAGAAACTTGGTTCTTTAAATTCAAGCAAATTTAGAAAAAGAAAAAAATCTTTAAAAGGCCCCAAGCTGCTGAGCTGCTGTTACCTTGCAAATGTTGCTCAAAGACCACGGTGTACTCCAGAAGAGTTAGGTCTGGTCTTACAAGGGTGGTGGGTATTGTAACATTTTTCTAGCTAGTCACATTCATTTACCCCAATAAAAAATAAAAAAATATTTCTAATATCTCATATGTTAATTACTAAACCATTTAGATTGCTGAGATTCTTGAACCTTGCTGTCACCACCTCTGGAATGTGATGATGCTGGTTTAGTCACTAAGTTGAGTCCGACTCTTGCAATCTGTGGACGGGGAACCTACCAGGCTCCTCTGTCCGTGGGATTCTCCAGGCAAGAGTACTGGAGTGGGTTGCCATTTCCTTCTCCAGAGGATCTTCCTGACCCAGAAATTGAACCCAGGTCTCCTGCATTGCTGGAGGAGGCAATGGCAACCCACTCCAGTACTCTTGCCTGGAAAATCCCATGGACGGAGGAGCCTGGTAGGCTGCGGCCCATGGGGTCGCTAAGAGTCAGACATGACTGAGTGTCTTCACTTTCACTTTTCACTTTCATGCATTGGAGAAGGAAATGGCAATCCACTCCAGTGTTCTTGCCTGGAGAATCCCAGGAAGGCGGAGCCTGGTAGGCTGCCGTCTATGGAGTTGCCCAGAGTCGGACACGACTGAAGCGACTTAGCAGCAGCAGCAGCTCCTGCATTGCAGGCAGATTCTTTACCAACTGAAGCCCTGGAATGTGGACTGCTTCAAATGCTAACTGGCCGCTCCCAGGATGTGCACTAAAGTCAGCTGACAACAGGGAACAGCCAAAATGTCTACCAACATGGGATTCCTTAAATAAAACGTGGTACCCTCTTGCAACGAAACCCTCTACTGCTGAAATGAAGACATTTAGAAGCTCTCTGGGAACTGGCAAGGAGAGACCTCCAGGATGTAGGATTCAGTGAAATGAGCAAGGGGCAGCTGTGGGGGTGAGAACTTGCTTCATTTTGTGTACCTGGAGGTGGAGGGGAATGAGAATTTATATTTGCTCATATTAATAATTGCAGAAAGAATCTCTGAAAGAGTGTACAAGAAAAGAATAAGTTCCCTCTGGGGATAGGTAAGGGTGGGAAAGGAGATTGGAAATTGGGCTGATGAGAGTAGAAATGGAAGCAAGATAGATTTTATACTTTAAATTTTTGGAGGGAGGCCATGCAGCATGTGGGATCTTAGTTCCCCAACCAGGGATCAAACCCACACCCTTTGTGTTGGAAGCACAGTCTTAACCACTGGACCATCAGGGAAGTCCTTACTTTGATTTTTTTAACCATGTGAAGTGTCTTAGTCCCTCAGTCGTGTCGACTCTTTGAGACCCCATGACTGGCTCACCAGGGCTTTTCTGTCCATGGGATTCTCCAGGCAAGAATACTGGAGTTGGAGGCCATTTCTTTCTACAGGGAATCCTCCCGACCCAGGGATCATACCTGGGTCTTGTGTGTTGCAAGCAGACTCTTTACCATGTGAGCCACCAGGGAAGCTTTGTTGTTGTTTTTTTTTTTAAGCTTATGAATATATTACCTATTCTCAGGAAATAAATATATGTTTATTTTCACATAAATGCATTCTACTGTCCATATCAAAGTATCATAAATACATTCCAATACATATGACAGTGACCTCAATCTTTCTGTCACTTTTAAGGTAGTGTTTCTCAAATCAGAGGGCCAAGTACACAAACCCACAGGATAAAGATTTGCTGAAAGGTCTGGAAGGATGACAGATGTAGACATAACTCCAGAGTAGAAAGTAGCTTTGCGAAAAGCCCTCCCAGCTCGCTGCATACTACCAACCAGTGGCCTTGTGTGGGGTGAGATAAGCAAAGGTCAGGGATCTCTCTGTGCCCAGCATGATGCGAGGGGCAGAGCCTTGTGAGTTCCATCTGTGTGGGGATTATGGACTTTCTAAAGGCGATTGCATTTGGTCTCCACAGCACCTCTGGGCAGTAGTAAACATCATCTTTTTTTTTAACAAGAAGAAAAACTAGGCCCCAAAGGCCACATGATCAGATTAAAGTTACTTGACTAGTAACTCCTGGATCCATTGCTTTAGATTGTTCTGACTCTTGAACAATGCCTATGTTCTGTTGAGAATTTGTGTATTTCTGCATTTACTCACTTAAGACAAGAGCTATTGTTGTCTTGCTCTTGACCTTTGTTGGGGTTTTTTTGGTTTGTTTTTATTTACATGGTGGATTTTTCTGATGGTTTCAAGGAAAATCTAAATACACGAAAAATGTGGGGAAAGTGAAAGGAGGAAAGATAAATTGGAGCCAAGAGGTTTCAATGCCTGCAACCTGGGCATGCGCAAGTGGACTCTGACCTTCCTCACGGCCATGGCTAAGTTTCGGCTGCCCCGTGTGTGGTCCAGGTTGGTACTCTGAGGGACACTGGTAGAACGGCCACAGAGCAGCATGACAGCTGACAAAGGGAACGTGGCTGTCTGAAAATAGAGACAAAAAAACGTCCGAAAGTTGAGAGACTCTTCCTTTCTTAGAGTGATTCACAGAGAAGAAACCCTGGAACCTTTCCAGGAGTGAGGCGGTGGTTGATCTGCGATCGTTGCCCCTTATCAGATAGTATTTCCGCTCTGACTCACCCACATGCGACACTCAGTCCAAAGTGGTTAGCACCTGGAAAGGGCAGGAGCACAAGGGCCACCACCCTGTTCCATTTATTTCCTTATCTCAGCGGCTTCCATTTGTATCACCCTGATGCTCATCTAAGAACCAGGACGTGGCATTTTCTCATTTGACTCCTGAATTAACAGGAAGCAAGGTAAGACAGGTAAAAAGCACTACTTTCACTGGAGGGCAAACAAGACGTACAGCAGGAGATGGGCAGGACCACGCTTGGTTTAGGGCTCTGTCACCATCTTGAAATCCTCAATAATTTTACCTTTAAAAAATTTATGGTGGTAAAATATTCATAACAGAATTTGCAGTTCAGTAGCACTAAGTACATTCATAATGTTGTATAATTATTGCCACTATCCATTTCCAGAATTTTTCCATCACCCCAAACAGAAATTCTGCATCCAATGACTTCCCATCCTTCCTTGCCTCCAGTCCCTGGTAGCCTGTATAAAACCTTCTATCTCTACGAAGTTGACTGTTTTTCTAGGAACCTCATCTAAGTGAAATCATATGGTATTTGTGTCTGGCTTATTTCATTTAGCACAGTGTCTTCAAGGTTCATCCATGCTGTAGCATGTGTCAGAACATCCTTGCTTTTTAAGACTGAGTAATATTCCACTGCATGGACTATAAGCTAAACCACATTTAGTTTAACCATTCATTCCTCAGTGGACACTTAGCTGCTTCTACCTTTTGACTGTTGTGTATAACACTAATAATTACTTTTGGTGTACAAGTTTCTATTACCTATTACAATTTTAAAAGTGGGGGAAACTAATAATAAATGGAATTTGGTAGATAAAAACCTTCAAAACCCAAGGCCAGTTGGCAGAAAGTAGCAAAAGGGATCTTGGGTGATAAAAACGTAAAAAAAATTCTCAAGGGCAAAGTTGCTTCCTGCTTGATTTTCTTCCTTGTTCTTCTGTTTCAATCTGCTCCTCCTTAACCAGTTGTTAGACACCTTCTTCATTTAATGATAGCTTTGCCAGGAGAAAGAAACACTATATTAAATATAGCCACTGACAATAAATGTATCCCAATTTGAGATATGCTCTGTGTGGATAATTATTATTGCTGCTTTGATGGAGATTCACTGTATTAGTCTACTTTTTGAATGTTTGGCATTTTAATAAGAAAATAAAAAATAATTTTAAAACCGTTAAAACTGTGCTTTGAAGTAGAGGAAAGAGGGTTCATCCTACCTTCTGACTTAACCCACCTTTTCCGGCCTCAGTCTCCTTCCAGGGGGGCTGGAGACTGGTCTGTGTCCCCACGTCCCGACAGAGTGCTGGGTGCCCCCAGAAGGCCTCCCAGGGGGCCCAAAAGGGTACAAGCAAGCTGTCCTGGACTTATTCCCCTCCTCCTCACTGTCTGTACAGAAAGGAATTCCAGTAAAATTAACGCCATGGATGGAGAAATAAGGAGAAGGGGGAGCACCCCTAGACAGGCTCCTGGGATGCCCTTCTGTCTCCTGTCAAGCTGCCAGGGGAGGGGGGGACTGTAAACTGATGCTTCCCTCAATCCCCAGCCCCCACTTCCTTATATTAGGAATTTTAACAAAAGAAGGCATAGTAAACTCCACAGTAATACTCTGCCAGCCTTTCATGTGGTCTGGGAACATCTGCTTGAGAAACCACACGCTGCGGGGTGAGTCACCAGGGTCTGGCCTCGCATTGGCTGAGAAGATCGCCTGATGCTGGAGGAAAACTGGTCTTTCTGCTATTGGAAGGGAGAAGTCCCGGGCCCGCCAGCTGCGCCTTGGCTCAGGCAAGGCTTGGGGTGCTCTGCCACCTCCGTGGCTTCCCAGCTTCTCCTGCCAGGATGCGCAGCTTCCCGAAACAATCTGCGGAGTTTGGGAGATGTTGGAAAAATGATAAAGACGGTCACACAATGGCCAGCAAAACCTGGGTGTGAGCATCTGGCCCTGAAACGCTGGCCACTACACCCCAACCTCGTTTAAGTGAGCTGACTGGTCAGTCCTGGGGGTATCAGTCCTGATGTGAGTGAAAGTGTGATGGCTGCTTAATTCCATCGTAAAAGAAAAATCTCATTTTCCATCATAGCAACACAGTCCTGGTTTGTATGTTAAGACTTGTGCCTGGCAGGTGGGTCCCTAAAACAGCCCAATGAGAGCAGACACGTGTGAAGACCTGTGGCCTCGGTTCTCTGAAATCCTAGAAGTTGCAATTCATGGGTTTGCCCATGACCACTGTCTAGAAGGGGCTGACTGCTGTCACCACAGGCTCTCGTTTTCAGGGCCAGGTCTGACTGAGCCAACTCCTCTCCTCCAGCTCTGCTGGCCGCCTCCGTCTGGTTACCTTGGACACAACTTTTCCCCATTTTCTGGAAACATATTTGAGAAAGAAGTCGCCGCTAATCAGCGTAAAGTAAATCGGAGCTAATATCTTTGCATACAATGTATCTGGGATAATACTGAAGTTCTACAGGCTGAGTGAAAAGGATTTGGAGAAACCATAGCAGGAATAGTAACCATTGTTTTGTTTTCAAGTCAATACACACCAGTCTTGGCGCTGAACTTCCATGAACTGTTCTGTTAAACCTTTCCCACAAACTGCCCAAGATAATACCACAGTTTTACAGGTGGAAGTGTGTCCAGCAACTTGTCCGAGGCCACATGTGTTATAAGTGGTAGAGTTGACCATGTTCAGCCTTGACTGAGCCCCGATCCCTGAAAGGCCTTGAGAGCACCTGCCTGAATAGAGTTTATGCTTCAACGAGGCTGAGGCACCCAGTTCTAATGCACTTGCTTGAGTTCACACAATGAGTTAACAGTTGATCTGGGATGCAAATCAGGTGTCCTGTCTCCTGGGCCGGGTGAGATGGTTGGAAGAGCTTGGGCTGACATGTCACCTTGGGCTGACCAGCATCTCTGCGCACCAAGTCCCCCTCTGCAGAATCAGCGTGGAAATCCCCACCTCAGTTTGGAGTGAAGAGTAAAGGCAGTCGTGAATATAACGCCCCTGCGTTCACCCTTTCACTTGTTAGGACTGAGTCACGCAACTATAACTATTCCTATTTACCTGGCAATGGTACTGTCCTCTGTCACTAGTTCCTCCTGTCTGCTGAGATAAGAAGTAAGCTTTGTTTCTTTGATTGAACAGAGACACGGCTGGCAGGGGGCAGGCCCTTGTAGAGCCTTACTGTCACCTGCCCTGTTGTTGTTTTTTTTACATTTATTTTTAATTAGAGGGTGATTGCTTCAAAAGTCGTGTTGATCTCTGCCATACAACAATGTGATTAGCCACAAGTATGCATACATCTCCTCCCTCTTGAACTTCCCTCCCAGCCCTTTCTTGGTTTTCCTTGCTGTTGTTTGTTTGTTTTTCAATCTTGGCTGTACTACCAGGCTTGTGGGATTTCAGTTGCCCCACCAGGGATCAAACCCCAGGCCATGGCAGTAAAAGCCGAAACCCGAACCACTAGACCAACAGAGACCTCCTCACCTGAGCTGTTGTTTGGAGCAGTCATCCAAACTCAAGGCTGGGTTCTGAGAACGGGGCTGAAATCTGGCCCAGAGTGGACTGACCACTCTGAGTGAGGGGGTAGCTATCTAGTTACTAATGTTTTGATTTGTTGAGGACTGAGGGGTTTTCCTGGGATGTGGAATTTTCAGTCCTAAAACCAGGACAGTCCTGGATGGTAGCAAGTCTAGGTCAGAGTGAATATCCTCGGGGATCTCTGGGCGTTTGGAGGGAGGGGGCCCTGGTTGGCACTCACATGGTGCCAACAGTGAGGTGGCTGGGGATTTGCCCAGCTAACTGGCAGAAGTCTTCCCTCTCTGGCCAAGAGGAAAGCAGCCACCTTACTCTGTTGCATGAGGCTTGAAATCAGGTGACTTGAATAAGAGATGATCACAGAAATTATTGGAGGACACAAAGGTCGCCCCACCCTTCGCTGGGGCTCTGGGGTGCCCTCAGCTGCTTTGCTCCCTCCACCAGGAGCCCCACCAGCCACTCCCCACAGACAGGCAGCTGCAGGGTGAACCCCAGTCTGCTGGGACCTGGGGCACAGGCTTCTCATTGCCAGGGTCTCTCCTAGGAGCACGGGGGCATTTTGTATGTGTGACTTTGCATTGTTTTTCTTAAAGGAGTCCCCAAAGTGCATAAGCTTCAAGGTCCATCAAAGCCTGGATCCACCCCTGGCTGAAGGCAGTGACTATCAGGGGGGACCTTGGGCCTCAACAGGGCAGGAAATTGTTTCCAGAAGAGAACTGAGGGCATTTCAGCCCCAGAGCCTGAAGCCAGCTTTGGAGAGTCATTGCCCAGATGACAGGATCTGGAGCAATGAAGACATTCCTGATGCCTCAGATGGTGAAGAATCTGCCTGCAATGCAGGAGACTTGGGTTCGATCCCTGGGTTGGGAAGATCCCCTGGAGAAGCGAATGGCTACCTACACCAGTATTCTTGCCGGCAGGATTCCACGACAGAGGAGCCTGGCGGGCTTCAGGCCATGGGGTCGCAAAGAGTCAGACACAACTGAGCGACTAACAACTTTCACTTTCACTGAGGAAAGAAGCTGTGACCCTAAACTCCCACGGGGCAGAAAATTCTGCTGTTGAGGAGACTGGACGGTGGGGTTATAGAGAGTTGAGGGAGCCACGCCTTGGAAAGAGGGAGGCTGCCTGTCTCCTTACAGCCCCTGGACTTTGGGTGGGTAACATCCTCCTGGAGGCTTTGTTCTCAGCACTGGATTCTGGGAAAGGGGAAGCTAGCTGGCGCCCCCTAGGGCTCAAAGGCTGGAGTGCAGCCCGCTGAGGAAAAGGCGCCGTGGGCCCTGAGCTGTGCT